CCATGTGGCAGCAAAGAGGCTCTGGCAAGACAGGTCCATACAACGGCAGTGCAGAGCAGTGTCACCCGGGCAATTGCATGCAGTGTCTCCACTTTTTTGCATGGGAGGGCCGGTCTCGGCTGCCATGGTGAGAGCCGGCTGCACTGGAAGAGCCGTAGAAGTGACCATAGGAAGAGCGGGCAAGGCCGGTATTTTGTAACTGGTAGGCACCGCATACTGAACCGTTTGGCTTCACCTGAGGGATGGTGCGTTGCATTAGGGGCAGCATGGGCAGGCGGGGACTTAGGAGTCAGGTCGTGGCGGGCAGTAGTCGAGGCAATGTTGGCCAGGACTATGAGCATGAGGGGGCTTATGGGTTGGGAAGCCTTGGGTGCCCACCTGGAGCTCGAGTCCGGTGCTGGTGAACGGGACCTCGATCGGGACCGTGGTCCACCTACTGGTGGGTCTGCTAACCCTGCTTGTCGAGCACGACTTGAGTCCTCGCGATACATATGAAGCCTTTCCCGGGTGGCATGTAGGCATTCGGTGGCTTGTGCCAGGTCAAAACAAACTAACCCGTCCTCCGACTCATACAGCATGCCTGTTGCAGCAGGTTCCATATCTGCCGAGTCAGCCGGAGGCAGATGGTCACCTGGAGGTGGTGCTGCTGAAGTAGTGGAGGTCGTCTCTAGGGCAGGGGCCGTGGTAGTAGAGGGAGGCCTTGCTGTGGTCCCGTCGTGATCGCTCTCGGAGTCAGAGTCCGAGGTGTTGGGGTCGTGCGTAGGCCCCTCTGATTCCTGTGCCTGTTCCATCCCGTCCATCTCTTGATCGTCATTGTCTTCATCATCCGCCGGTGGATCGAAGAGGGGATTGCGAAGGTCCTGAGGGTTGGTTGGCTCGAGCATATATTCCTCAGCCGGCGTGGCCTCCCTGAGGCTGATCAGGAGGGACCTCCATGTGGCAACCTCGGCATAGTCAGGGGCTCGCACATGGGCCGGTCCAGTCAGCTGGAGGTGGTGGAGGACATTAGCCGCCAGAGTGCGATGCCACCTTGGGGCTCCCTCGGCTGCATGCTGCGGAACTCGTGTAGGCCAAGTCGCAGCAATGCCCATTGAGTCCACACCAGCTGAGGCCGAGGATCCTGCACTGGGTTCTGTCCTGCGAGCGCGGAAGTGGGCCATGGTCATCGGAGCATTAACTGGCTCTGGTGGAGGAGGTCCAGCTGGTGGGCCATGGAGCGGAGGTGCAGTGATCGGGTGTGCCCTTTCTGCCGCCGTCATTGGTGTGGTGGGAGCCGACACATTGTCACTCTCAGCATTGTCACTCTCAGCATCTTCTTCCTCGGCCCCTTCAGCTGCAGTGGCATCCTCAAGGACACTGTCATGAAGAGGATCTCGGTCCATGTCCGCAGCGGTGAGGTTAGGGTATGCAGAGCCGGGTTCAGGGGCTGCTACTACTACTACTACTACTACTACTACTACTACTCCTACTCCTACTCCTACTCCTACTCCTACTCCTACTCCTACTCCTACTCCTACTCCTACTCCTACTACTACTACTACTACTACTACTACTACTGCTACTACTACTACTGCTACTACTACTACTACTACTACTACTACTACTATTTCTACTTCTACTTCTGCTGCTACTACTACTACTACTGCTGCTACTGCTGCTACAACAACTACTACTACTACTACTACTACTACTACTACTACTACTACTACTACTATTTCTACTTCTACTTCTGCTGCTACTACTACTACTACTACTACTACTACTACTTCTACTTCTACTTCTGCTGCTACTACTACTACTACTTCTTCTTGTCCTTGGCTCAAAGCAGCAGGAGGTCGAGCAAGGCTCTTGGAAGATGCACCAGCGACTCCTCCAACCCTAGAACCAAAAACCCTGCAAACCCCATAAGCGATACAAGCCCATAAGCACCCCTGAGCCCTATGCTACAAACCCAGAATATTCAATCCAGAATCTACAACTTGAAATTTTCGTATACATACATATATATATATATATACGGGTACCCCCCCTATATGGGGTCCCCTGGGTTTTTGCACACCTAAGCCATTAAACCATTAAACCAATCCTTTCCCCCAATGGACCCGAACCAATAAACCATTAAACCAATCCTTTCCTCCAATGGACCCAAACCCATAAACCATTAAACCTAAAACCTAAACCAATCCTTTTGCTCTATACCACTAACCCATTAAACCATTAAACCAATCCTTTTGCCCCATACCACTGAACCATTAAACCATTAAACCTATCATTTCCCCCTATAGAGAGAGAGACACATCCCTGTCTGGGCCGAAGGAATTGGCTTGATGGTTTAATGGTTTAGTGGTTTAGGTGCATTGGGGAAAGGATTGGTTTAATGGTTTAATGGTTTAGTGGTTTACTGGTATGGGGTAAAGGGATTGGTTTAATGGTTTAATGGTTTGGTGGTTGAGGTGCATTGGGGGAAAGGATTGGTTTAATTGTTTAATGGTTTAGTGGTCTAGTGGTATGGGGTGAAGGGATTGGTTTAATGGTTTTATGGTTCAGTGGTATGGGGCAAAAGGATTGGTTTATTGGTTTGGGTCCATTGGGGGAAAGGATTGGTTTAACAGTGTACTAATTTAATGGTTTGTCAATGGTTTAATGGTTTAGTGATGGGCCTAGGGCCGCCTACTATGCAGGTGTCCTGGTTATAACCGGGGACAGAGGTTGTAACCAGGCTGCAAAATACGTTCAGGGGTTTGAAGACTCCCGCCGTGCCCTATAGACCAAATGGATTGGCTTATTGGTTTGATGGTTTAAGTCTATGTCTCCACCAAACCCTAGGCCCAAACCCTAAGCAATAAAACCCAAACAAACCCAACACTTGATGGTGAACCTGCAATATTGGTAAACTGTGTCGAAACACCGGAGGGCTTACATACCAGGGTTGTGGTTTGTAAATTGGGGTGCCTTTATTGTTTGTTGCACACTACAAACCTTACGAAGCAAATCTGTGCCACTGTTTCAGGGGGGATGTAGCCGCAATGAAACTAAACAAGGACTAGAAGAATAGAGGGTCCGAGGTCATTGGCATGTATTCGGTTGTTGAGGTATGATGCAGTGCTGTGTAACAAACATAATTCCGGGGACCATATGCGCATTCCCCAACTTTAGCGGAAAGGCTAGATGGCGGACTTTACATAATGGTCTGTCCGTTCCAGTACATCGGGTTTATGAGATCTATGTACACATTGAGAGAATAGCCGCTAACATGTCACTGACCCAGGAATCAAAATGCGGAAGATGAAGGGGCTCTATCGGGATTACAGTAGGTCAGTAAGTGTTGTCAACATTGGAATATCACGGTACACAGAAAGTTGAGATACGACTTAGACGACGTCATTGTAGGGAGAGATAGTATTTCAAAGTTTACAGCGTGGTCAGGTTTCATCACATCGTACATAGGCGAACTGGTTGCAACGTTATGTTCAAACATCGTTCCAAGGAAGCAGGATTTCGATGAGACAAAACTGATAAGCATATGTGTGGTGAGCGAAACAAAATTTGCAACTTGCAAACTGTTAGGTTTCCTCGCTCGGTAGGTAGAAATTCCTAGCAATGCTATTTCCAACTACATGGATGAACCTCTTTCGAGGAGTGATTCGGTGTGTGTTTACGACTTTTTCTAAAACGAGGATCACGTTCTGGACTGGGAACAATGGCTTCTATTCGACCTTCAGAAAATATTCACAAGAACACAAACAGAAATTCGAACAAGCAAGATGTAGCCTTATGGTTTTCAGTCGGCTTTACGTGATGGTTAAGGTATGCTGATACAAAAAGCACAGGCTTCATCACTCAGCATATAGAAACAGTGCCAAGCCTAAGAAGCGATGCTTCATGTCGTCCCCCAGGAAAAACACTGTACAACGTTTGCTAAGCTTGTGTAGTGTGCAAGTTTTCAATTTTGGCTTGGGGCAGCCGTCATACGGAATTAAGGAATGCACCACTCAAACATACCTACTGAATATACCAGTGTCTAAAAGCAATCACATAGGGGCACAGGGATATGTCATTGAAAGCTATCAGCTTGCCAAAACGTCATAGCAATGCGTCCAACAACAGAGAATTTGATGGGATTGCGGCATTACAGTACAAAGATGGAAAACTTCTCGTTCCAAAATCTAGTTCGCGATAAGGAATGACTGAACCAGACTAATGACTACAGCGCGCTTGTCGGAAAAAGCTGAAATACAGCGGTTTAGATACAGTCACACAAAGATGAACTACGAAGATATATCGACGGCTTCAAGGCAAGGATTTTAGCACATTGTAACAGGGTTTCGACGAGGGTGTCATAGAATTCTTAGCGTTGTGCGGGCTTCAGCATTCTGAAAGCATGGGTTGTTGCAACTCCCCGGGTTAGTCTTCAAACCGGATATAATACTGTAGTCGATGACGTACACCTCATTATAACCTAGTCGGCTGGTTATAACCTAGTCTGGTGGTTATAACCGAGTCACATGGTGTAGCGAAAAACGTAGGGGACCCCAAATAGGGGTGCGCCCATATATACACACATGATATTGGCTCATACTGTGCCACTTAAAACTCTGAACCCAAACTGTAGCTGCAAGATCCCAGACAAAGAGACCTATACAGGCGATTCGACTCGGGTTTGCGTGAGAAGCGCCGACTCCTAAGGGTGTAAAGGGTTGAGGGTTTAGGGTACAAACTATTCAGGCAGTGAGCGTACTGACCCCAACTCGAGTCCCAGCATCTCACTTGCCCCTGAAAGCTTTGTCCTAAACCCTAGACGCTAGTTAAACCCTAAATCCCCCTTGCCCCTGAGAGCTAAATCCCAGACCCTAAACCCTAAACCCTAAACCCTAAAACCCTAAACCCTAAACCCTAAACCCTATAAACCTTAAGCGCTAGACATCCCTAAGCACTACATCCCCCTTGCCCCTGAAAGTTCAACCCGAGACCCCAAAGCAACATCGGACCGCGACCACGGCCTGTGTGGGTTCAGCCCACTCGGGCCAGCCTCCGTGGCCTTTGGTTTAGGGGTTCAGGGTTCAGGGGTTTAGGGCTTCAGGGTTCAGGGGTTTAGGGGTTCAGGGTTCAGGGGTTTAGGGATTTAGGGTTCAGGGGTTTAGGGGTTTAGGGCTTTAGGGCTCAGGGGTTTAGGGCTTTAGGGTTCAGGGGTTTAGGGGTTGAGGTTTTGGGGGTTTAGGGGTTTAGGTTGGGGACTCTATACCTTTGGCAGCTCCGGATGGCTTTAATGCTCGGGCTCGAAGGATTTAAGCCCAGAGGTTTTGGGTCCAAGGGCTTATAGGGCTTTGCAGAAGATTCTGCAACTAGGGGCCTCAATAACTACCTATACCATGTTGGGGTTCCTCATTACAATCATATTATAGTATAATGGGCCCCGAAGCCCTACTCTATTTATTAAGGCCCCTGCATTGGGCTGGGAAAGCAATGCTGGCTCTCAGGAGCTCTGATCTTCTTCCAAGAGCTGCGGGAGGAACTTACGATCCGTAGAGCGGGCAATAGCTCTGGGGCCGTACGTGATGCGGCTGATCCTTTTGATTCTCGACTCTTTCTGTTCCGGCTCATTTCAAGACTCCTCGCCTGAGGTGAGCCGCACTTGTCATGTTCGCCTTGTGACCCTGGGTGCAGCTGGGCCGATGCTCCTGATGCTCGGCTCGGGGTGACGCTTTGCTCGGCTGTTGCTCGTGTTGCTGGGGGACCCTGACTACAAGCTGATCCGCATGATTTTTCGGCTTGGGGGTGACTGTTTGTTCGGAGATCCTCGGTGCTCTGATACTCATGATGCTCCGCCGCCCTGGGTGCAGCTGGTGCTCGTGGTGCTCAGCTTGGTGGTTTGCCTGCAGCTGATCCTCACCATCTTAGATGCTTGGCGTGGGGCGACGCTTGGCACAGCTGAGGCTCGGATTTGGGGCTTGCCCACTATGCCACAACTTAGCCCAATGATACCCAGCAGCCTGCGGACAGCAAGAGCCCAATACCCACAAAGACATCGAAAGCCTCAACAGCCAGAAGCCCAACGCTTCAGGACCATCTGAACAGCCCTGTGCACACCAGCCTAAACTCCAACAAAGGCCAAGAGAGGGCCCGAAAACGTGAGTCCGGGACGCAGGGCGGCAAGTAAGTTGACCTTGTGGGGACAAGACTGCAGATGTCGTAAAGGTTGAGGTCTCAGGTTCAGTAGTAGTAGTAGTAGTAGTAGTAGTAGTAGTAGTAGTAGTAGTAGTAGTAGTAGTAGTAGTAGTAGTAGTAGTAGTAGGCTCTGTTCGTGACCTCCTTTTGTCTCTGTTTTGGCTCTCACGGTTCACAGCATTTTGGGCTTCCGGAAAGCTTGAAGTTGAAGGCTTCAGACTTCTTCGTAGGATTTGCAGCTCTTGCATTGGGATCTGAGGCTTCTCCGAATGTAGACTTGAAGCGCGCTCTCTCTCTCTCCCCTCTCTCGCTTTGCCTTTCATTTTTCTCTATGTCTCGCTAACTCTCTCTCCTTCCCTCTTTCTTTCTTTTGAATTGTCTCTTTGAATTATATGCACAGATATACAAGCAGACAATCTGAATATGTGTGTATGTGTATGTGTAAGTACATGTATACGTATGTGTGCATGTATATGTACACAGACAGAACAGGCCCCACTACAGTGCCATTTTCACAGGGTGACATGAAAGCATGAGTTGTCTGTATGTGTGTGAGAGAGGGAGAGAGATAGAGTTCTAAAGCGTAGTTGCATCCGTACAACGTGTGTGGACATCCGCGACTTTCAATCAAAAACTGCCTTCAAATCCAGAGGTATGTATGATCACACATGGATACATACATACATACATACATACATGCATACATACATGCATACGGCATACATACATACATACATACATACAGAACTGGAAGTTTAGATATTTTCAGCCCCGCAAACATCTGCAAACACTGAGCCTAAAACCTGATATAGGATCTTATAGAATAGGGAGCAGATATGAGCAGATTGTCGTACACTTATAATAAGCAACCCCAGAGTACAATGTAGGTAGTTATGCTGACTTCTGTATCAGGACACCCCTAAAGCCCAAAACCCCTAATGTGTTAGGAACCTGGTTAAGAAACCTTGGGCCTTTGTTAGGGTTCCTCATATGAATCCTGCTATTTGGGGATTATAGGCCCAGGGTTTCTTAATCAGGTTCCCACATTAACCCCATGATCCTAAAACCTACTTAAAGGATCATGGGACTTAGTAACTAGGGTTATAATTAGGGTAACTATACTTATAACCCCAATTAAGGTACTTATAACCTTACTAAGTCCCATGATCCTAAAATCTATGCTCTGAAACCTGGTAAGGGCGAGGCTACACGGTCGCTTTCGGACAGAACGAGCCTTCCGCCGCGCAGTGCCTCTCGGATTTTGGGCGCTCCGATGCTTGGCGCAACTACTGTTGATATATATATATATATATATATATATATATATATATATATATATATATATATATATATATATATATATATATATATATATATCCTGCATTGCCTTAAGGACCCCTAAAGTATCGGAATGATGGTAGTCAGGTTCCTTCTTGTGGGTAAGGCAGGAGGATTATATCATCAACCGAAGGGCTGAAGGCTTAGGATGCAGCAGGGGTTTAGGGTCTAGCGCGTGTGGTTGTGTACGTAATTATGCGACGAAGAACAGCTTGTTCGAAGTCTTTCAGGCCTCTTGAAGCCGGCACTCACAGTTTCGGCCGCAAAGTATAACCTCTGCGTTCTGCAGGACGTTTCGGTCCTCTACATGTGACCTAGTAGGTATTCCACAAAAGGATAATTTCCTGAAGAACGCTTCGGAAGCACCTCTTCTGCGATCGGCCCAGAAAACCAGAAAGTCAAGCAGAGCACGACAGAACGCCCCATGACGCCCAAACCCCGAAATGTCTCAAACCCCAAAATAGAACCCGTGCCCCTATCACAAGCCTCTTCCGCCGCCGCCCTCATGATGCCTTCCATCAGCCAATCGGATGGGAAGGAGCGAGATTGGAGATTTGGGGCATAGGCTTTAGGGTATACACTATACTTTCAATGGCTTCCATAAGGGTTAAGGTTCAGGCCTTGCGGTTTAGGAATTAGCAGCCTAGGCTTCACCGTTCTGTGTTGAGCATCTCTCTGGTTTAGTGGTGCAGGCTCTGGAGTCTGGGCAGTTAGCAAAAAGGGCTTAGGGTTTAGGATGATTTAGGGTTTAGGGTTTAGGGTTTAGGATGATTTAGGGTTTAGGGTTTAGGGTTTAGGGACTTCAAGTCGTATAAGCTTCACAATTCCATCGACCCGAGCACCCCCAAACCGCAAACACTGAAACCTACAAACCCAAACCGTAAACCCGGAACCCCTTACCCCCAAAACCATGAAACCTTAAACCCCTGAACCCTAAAGCCCTAAATCCCTAAACCCCTGAACCCTGAACACCCAAACCATCTCTGGCCGCCAACCTCCTGGACCGTCTGACCTCCATCGCAAAAACTACGACAAAGACCCTTCGCCAAACCAACCCTGCCGCTTCAGGTGCTGCAACTAACTACATATCCTTGTTGGGAAAATCTAAACCCTAACCTAAATCCTTGCTTCAACTAACCGTCCTTATTGAGGCAAAGGGGGCTTAGCAATCAGGGGCTATCATTGCGCTGTATCCCAGCAAGGTCTCACGCCCCATCGAAACCCTGCCCCACCACCATGGTAGAAAACCACAAAACGACTAGAACTGGTCCTATCGCATTCAAGGCATCAGGAGGGCTGGGGGCTTTAGAACTCAAGAATGTTATATCTTTCGTGCTTCTCGGGTTTATGATTTTCCGTTTTTTAGAACCTAAACCCTAAACCCCTCAACCCCGAGCCCTACAGGTTGGGGTTTGGGTTTTGTGGCGCGCCTTGGTCTGCTCCCGGCTGGAAAGTCGCGTTCACCATCGCCGTCCTGCGAGACTCCCAACGACCGCGGATGAAGATGCGATTTACGACGGTTCTTAATTTCCCTTATGGTTTCATATAGAACATGGAGCCCTGGGGATTTAGGTTGCAGTAAGAGGGTGTAGGGTTTAGGTGATTCGGTGCGTAGGGGTATCTGGTCGTTGAGGCAACTTAGCCGTGTTAGCAGCTTGGGCCATGGGACTTGCTTGTTGGTGAGCAGGGTCTGAGCGTGACCTGATCATCCCTTCTGATTCTATAAAATATAGTATTAATAATACTAAAATTGGCTGCTATGAGTCTCACAATATCGAGAATGGTGTCGCCGGTGTGTTGCTACCATCACGGTCATAGCTGCCAAATGCTGTTAATGCTGATGGTGGTGACAATGACAGTGATGCGAAGCATCATCGATTAACGCTGTAGGCGTTTTAAGCCACCAACTCCGCTGTGAGACAGTCCTGAACTAATTGTTGAAGCTAGACCTCCAACTCCGCAGAAGTTTCTGGCACTTCTGGGCAAATGCCTACGTAGCGGAGCCTTAAGGGCTGTTGTGATCGACATCCTCAAAATCTGAACCATACCCTGCCGTTTATGTTGGTAATTACCCTGCAAGGTGCTTTTCCACATCTACTTGCGGGTTGAGTCCCTGGGCGGAGTAGCCTTAATCTCAAACGAGATAGATCTGCGAACAGTCGATCTCCATCCTCCAAACTTCAATATACTGATAATAATACACGATAGTAATATACCGTTTCTATAAACATAATATACGATAGACACTAGAATAATATACCATAGTTAGACTATAACTATGACAATATACGACAATCCCTGCAGAAGTGCACTGAGCTTTTGCCTCGATCTCTGCCGGTCGCCCCAAGAAGGCGAGAGAGAGAGAGTTGGTCAAATGTGGTTTTAGGGCACTTGAAGGCGGGATATGAGGGTTTAGGGCTTAGTGTTACTCAGAGCCGAGGGCTTAGGGCTCCGAGGGCTTAGGGCTTAGGGTTTAAGGTTTGGGGTTCAGGGCTTAGGGTTTAGGGCTTAGGGTTTGGGGTTTAGGGCTTATAGGGTTTAGGGCTTAGGGTTTAGGGTTTGGGGCCTAGGGCTTCGCGTTTAGGGTCTAGGCATCTGGGCTTCAGGTGGGGGTTGAGGGTTAACGGCTCCGGACTCTTTGATGAGACTACGACACGTGGGAGGTATTATTATAGGGTTTGTTGAAGGTTTAGGGCTTCAGGTAGATTTACACCTCTACATCTAGACCAAACCCTTGAATCCAACCCTCAGAACCACAACCCGAACCCAACACACGATCTCTTGTGAAACGAAACTCCTCACAACCGCCACAGCCGAAACCCTCTTCCTAAACCTGGTGCAGATGTGCTGTAGGGCTTGAGGGTTGGGCACGAAGCTGCTGTGAGAAAGGAGTGCTTCACAAGAGCTGGGTCTGGGTGCCAGTGCCCCTTGCGCTCATGTCCTCAGCAGCAAACTCAAACAACGTTTGACTCGGATTTCAGGCTGAGCATGCAGGGCCTGCGGGTTGCGCACATAATATGGCTCTTGAGGTGTAAACTTTTCAAATCCTTGTGGCATACCGGGGGCCATTGTAGAGTCCATCATGAGGCACAAGATATGTTCCTGGCGTCACAAACAAACCTGAAAACCCTCCCATGCCGGATGCATTTGGGTCTCAATCTTTATCACCAAGGGATCGGTTCCTTCAAGCTTACGCCTAAACCCGCAACTAGTTCCACTAAACCCGACTAAACCCTGAACTCAACTGCGTAAACTGAAGCCCTCAGGCTAAACCCCAATACTGAAGAATAGCCCTAAGACACACCAAGAGACGCGGCTGAAAGTGCGCAGCACCCGCGGTGCAATCTGAGCCTCGGGCCAAGATTAGATTGGTGCGACTCCGAGATCACGGATTATCACGGTCTTCACCGTGGGGCTCTGTAATACATAATACACAGTATAGAGAAGGCGTAGTTTGTAACAGGTAACATATACAATCCATAAGCGTCCTAAGTACCTAAATACGAGAATGTAGGGTTTCTATACAAGGAATTACCATTATGAGTTGAGAAGGTATTCCCCATGACAGTACCTTGACCCCTTTGGGAAAATGCATTGTATAACAGCACCTAGGGAGGGCACCTAGGCTTTGGGGTGGGGCTTAGCACGCGGAGCACTGACGCTGCAGAGAGCACGTCGACTCATGAGAGTTTAAGGTGCCTGGCTTCAAAAGGTAATATATTAAGATAATTATGATTTATGAGATATTGTATATTGTGTGTTCTATACTGTATATTTTATTTGAGGGCCGGGTTTCATGAACCACAGAGACATGGTGCACAAGTGTCAACAGCAGAAGCTCTCCGCCCAAGGGCTGACTTCATCCCCCTTTGGAAGATGACTTTTGGGCCGACTCCTCCCTCTCTAACTACATAGGGTTGATAAGGGGGATACCGTAACGGTTTAGGGTTTAGGGTTCCGGGATACCCATTCCGATTACTCCGACGTCCATGTTCTAGAGCGGAGGCCAACATTCTGAGGTCATGGCTGGATCTGCCTCCTCTTGCAGATCCTTAGGAGGCTTCTGTTGCCACAACCACCATGCTCTGCACGAAGTACGAACCCATAGTTTGCTCGAATCCCACATCCCAAATCTGAAGAACTATCCATGAGCCTTTGCTGAGCTGAAGGGCTGCTGCGCGGGCCATGGGCCGCAAGGTGCGGCCGCCGATATGCTTAAACCTGGTCTTGTTTGTCTAGAAGGGAGGGAGCCAACAATCTAAACCCCAAGCCCCAACACCTCAACCGACCGTTAGGGGAGGTGATAGGGTTGGGGTTAAGGTAGGGTCCTTGGATTGGCTGAGGGTTATTCACAGTATAAGAGTTTCAAGTTGAGGGTCGTTTTAAGGGCTATCATCCACATTACCACTTCAAGCGCGTGAGGCCTTGGGTCGGGGCCCTTAAACCCCTGGATCACGAACTCTAACCTGAAGACTTACCAGCTCTAAGCCCCAAATCCAACTTCGAGATCCAAGCATTCCTGACCTCCGACTACCTGCAAGCCCTTCACGCTCTGCTTTTTGTTGCGACGCTGTCCAAGGGCTGTAAATTTGAGCTTTTCTTGCTTCTCAACTACCGAAGGGATGAAGAACAAAAACATAGGTGTAGTAGATATTCGACTGGAAAGAGTCTCCTATCTGAAGCTGCAGCCCCGGACCACGACCCAAGCCCAAAGACGCCTACTCTAAGCCCCAAACATCGCAGTCTAAAACCGACACTCCGAACCCTCACCTGAACACAACACACGCAAAGAACAAACACATGAAACCCTTGCACAACCCTCAAGAACGCCCTATAAACATTTCCATAAACCAAAGACTAGTCTGGGTGGTTGTTCAAATAAGGGTCTTTTTTGAGGTTCCCTAACCACAGGGTGCCGATTTTAGGCTGCCATTGCAGTTCAAGGGACTTAAAAGCAGCCCAAGAGAAGGCGACGATGCAGGCAATGTTTGACAAGT